GGCCCATAGGAACTCTAAGAAAATAATATGTGATGCAAAGGATTTAGTTTTTAGTGATTTATATATTAGATTAGATACTAAATAGGGTGAAAGATGTATATTTAAGTTAGCCAAGCAAAGAAATATGAGAAGTAAAAATTTAGTTCAAGTGATGTGCATTAAAGATGAAGATCAAAAGTGTTTTTCTTAGAAGAAGATATTCAACATATCTAGCTAAGATATTTTGATAAAATTTTAATGAAGATTGTGATAATACAATTGAGTTCAGTGTCTTAGCACCCTAAATACAACAACAACAACAAGCCTTTATCAGACTCCATGGGGTCTACTACATGAATCTTTTTTCTTTATTGTCCTGTTAAGAGTCAAATTCTCATTGAAATCAAATAATGAAATGTCATTTCTAATATTTTTTAACCAAGTTTTTTTAGGTCTACCTTTATCTTTCTTAACATAAGCCACAAATCTAATAATATACCTTCCTAACTGCGTCATCGGAAGGCAGCCGTTTTATGTGACCAAACCATATAAAGCGACTCTCTCTTATCTTATCTCCCACTGGAGCTGCTCCAACCTTTTCACGTATACGATTATTTCATATTTTATCTCTAAGAGTAAAGCCACTCATCCACCTGTTCATCCTCGTCTCTGCAACACTTAACTTGATATTATGCTTCTCTTTTAATGGCTAATATTCTGCACCATAAATCATTGCAAGTCTCACCACCATCTTATAAAATTTTCCCTTTAGTTTGATGAGAACTTTTCTCTCACACAACAAGCCTGATGCATTCCTCCACTTCAACCATCCAACTTGAATTTTGTTAATAATATCCCCATCTATTTCACCATTACTCTGAACAATATACCCAATATATCTAAAACGTGTGCTCTTATTAATAACTTGATCGTCCAAAGTCACAAACCCTCCACTAGATCTGTTACTATTAAAATTACACTACATATATTCAATTTTAGATCTACTTAAACGAAAACCTTTAGATTATAAGGTTGACTTCCATAATTCAAGTTTACCTTCAACTCCCTCTCTATTTTTATGAACAAGAAGTATATCATCAGCAAAAAGCTTACACCAATGTACAACCTCTTTCAAATGTCTAATGAGAACATCCATGACTAAAGCAAAATGATATGGACTTAAGGTTGATCCTTGATGTAATCCAACAAAAATAGGAAAATACTTGATCAAACCACCTTGTTTTTGAACACAAGTAACAACACTTGCATACATATTCCTAATGAGTAATGACTTTAATATAAACATTATTGACTCTTTTCTTTTCTAGAACTTTTCATAGCACTTCTCTTGGAACTTCATCATATGCTTTCTTTGAACCAATAAATATCATATGAAGACCCTCCTTATTCTCTCTATGCTTCTCCATCAAACCTCTCAATAAATGTATAATTTCTATAGTAGACTTACCTGACATGAATCCAAATTGATTTTGAGAAACATTAGTATCACGTCGTAAGCTATGTTCCATAACTCTCTCCCAAAGTTTTAAAGTATGACACATTAACTTAATTCCTCTATATTTCGCACAATCTTGTGCATCACCTTTATTCTTAAAAAAAGTAATCAACACATTTATTCTCCACTCATCTAGCATCTTTTTAGTCTTCAAAATAATATTAAAAAATTTAGTAAGCCAATAAATTCCTTCATCTCATGAGCATTTCCACACATCTATTGGAATATCATCAGGTCTAACAGCTTCTCCATATTCATTTTCTTTAAAGCCTCTCTAACTTCAATTTTACTAATACGCCGATGAAAACAAAAATCTTTATTTTCATTTAGGATGTTAAGGTCACTAAAGTCAATCGTATCTCACAATCTTCATTGGAAAATTTAGCAAAATATCTCATTTACCTTTGTTGAATATTTTCTTCAAATAAAAATACTTTTTGATTTTTATCCTTAATGCACTTCACTTGCACTAAATCCTTACTACTCCTACCTTTTTGTATGTTTAACTTATGCATATATCTTTCACCCTCCTTAGTATCTAATTTATTATATAATTTATTAAAAGCTAAAATCTTTACATCGCATATTGCTTTCTTATACTCCTTATGTGCCTTTTTATATCTTTCCCAATTATCATAGTTTTAGTGTGTTGGTTTCTATTTTTAAAAATAAAGATAATGCATAAGAGTGTACAAATTATCTTTGAATTAAGTTAATGTGTCATACATTAAAATTATGGGAGAGAGTAATTAAGCATAGGTTACGATGTGATAACAATGTTTTCAAAATTAGTTTGGATTCATGTCGGGTAGGTCTACTATGTAAGTTATATATTTGTTGAGAGGTTTGATGGAGAAATATAGAGAAAATTCCCAAAAAAAAATAAATATAGAGAAAGGAGGATATGTAAATTCTGGAAATACATTGGACCAAAAAAACTCTCTGCAATATAAGCCAATTCTGGAAGCCACTTTAAGGACTGCCCAAATGGAAAAAACCAGCAACAATTCAAAAATCGCAAAAGAATAGCTTCAAGAATCCACTGCCCAACCAACCACATGAGCTTGCCAAATTTCCGCTGCCGAAGCCATACCAATTTCCACCTCCCAAAGATAGAAAATCACTAATTTAATCCTTAAATGAAGATATCGACAAATAGATAATGCCAAAGATGCATTGCCTAACATTTCTGCATCATTTTGAGGTCGTGATTGGGTTTAATCTGAAGAGACAGAGCTTAACAATTCATAACAATAAAAAGAATAGCTTCAAGAACCCACTACCCAACCAAACATATGAGCTAGCCAAATTTACCCATCCGAAGCCATTCGAATTTCCACCTCCCAAAGATAAAGAATCAACTCTCTAATCCATAAATCAGGATATGGGAAAGCCACTTCAATCCATAAATCAAGATATGGACAAATAAACATGTAAAAGTTGCATGGCCTAGCAATTCTGCATCATTGCTTGGTCGTGATTGGGTTTAATCTGAAGAGAAAGAGCTTCTGTCTTGTGGCTACAAGAAGAAAATGGAAGAATGATTATATATATACACGTATAGTTATATACTTATATAATATTAAATACCTGATTTATTTTCCTTAGATTCTCTTAGCATTCACGTCATGATTATTAGACAAGTTTTACGCTGATTATCGACTACCTAATGCAACCATCAACTTTTCTCATCCAGGGCTTGAGACATGGCAACGACAATGCTTTATGACACAATGTTGGCCATTAAAAGAGAAGCATAAAATTAAGTGTTACAGAGATGAGGATGCCTAGGTGGATGAGTGGTTTCACTCTTAGGGGCAAAATGCGAAACGAGTATATACATGAAAGGTTGGAGTAACTCTAGTGGTAGATAAGATTAGAGAGAGTCACCTTGGATGATTTTTGGTCATAAAACGTTGGCCCTTTCTGATAACCTGGTTAGAAGAGTAGATGTATTAGATTTGACCAATGTTAAGAAAGATAGAGGTTGACTTAAAAAGACTTGATTAGAAAATATTAGAAATGACATTTTTTTTATTAGATGTAAATGAGAATATGATTCATAATAGGATACAACAGAGAAAAATGATTTATGTAGCCAACCCTATATAGTGGGATAAAGGCTTGATAATGTTGTTGTTGGATTCCCTTTGTCATTGCTGCCTTATGCTTAAGGAAAAAAAAAAATCTAGAGAACAAGAGGTATAAAAGACTTGAGTAATCATTCAGATCAAAATTTGTGCTGTATGCTGAAATGATAAAACTCCATCACTTTGTGTAGTCGTGGATATAGGCTTGGTAAGCCCAACTATATGACTTTTGATGTCTCTTTTATAATACTTCTTTTTCTTTGTTTTGCTTTATGGTTCATTATATTTGCTCCTGCATGAAAGTGAGGTGCATTTTTTCTAATAAAAATTTTATTCCATCCTCAATTAATAAGGTTCTTTTTTTTGTGATAGTAGCCATCAGTTCATGAACATTTAAACCTATTAACAGTGATACAATCACACTTATATTCAAAATAAACATTTGCAGACATCCCCTCCTAAAAAGAAAACAAACTGACAAAATTAAGATGAGGAAGGCAGGCCTTAACATGACAAAACAAATAATTAACAATAAAAACTCTTAACCTTGACCATTGATTTGAAGATTTGGAACTAGGCTTCTTCTAATGCGCCATGATACTTCCCGCAAACAGTTTATCAGACTATATTATAGGCTAAATAATCGGGGCCAACAGGATTCGCCATTTGAATTGCTTAACAAGATAAATTATAGGGCATAGAATCTTGGCCAGTATGTTGTCTATAACTAAAAATTCTATAGGAAAGCTCCAACTTTTGGCTTGATTAATTAGCTTTCTTTGTCATAAATCTCAGTGCTAGTGATTTTGTGTCAGCAAGTCTGTGATGGCAAATTGAGAGTTCAGTGGAGAGAGAACAAGAAAAGAACTACAAGTTTGTTGAAATTTATTCTATAGATCAACAATGTGGAGTGGAATTTAACTTGCTGAAATCAGTTTAATGCCAATGTAGCATTTGGGTAACAGTTTTTTAGACAATGTAGATGGAGCTCAGTACATTTCACGGGTAATTTATCATGTTTGGTACTGTCACTTTATTTTTATTCTAGTTTTTTAATATTTTGTAGATGCCCCAGTTTATTTAGTATCTGGTCACTTGTGAGAATAAACTCTTTTGTATTCCAAATTAAAATTATTAATCATGAAATCGTGGCTTGTGTGATACATGTATCAAGCCATTTGATATGATTTTAGTAGTTCTATGTCTTCTTTATCTTCAGAAAACTGCTCTTTTTTATACCATTGATTTCTTTCATTGATGTTTCCTATTGATTTTAGATTTTGATTACCAGTCATTCTTGTTTGTGCCCCCCCCCCCCCCCCCCCCCCCCCCCCCCCCCCCCCCCTCTTTTCACACACACAGATATATATATATATATATTTCTGTCTTAAATGACGATGGTATGTTATAATTAGGTGGTGCAAGCCTTCCATGTCTGTATGCCAACTTGAATCACATTCAATTTGTCAGTGTTCATCAAAAGTCTGGTTTATGATTGCTGGTAATATTCACTTAAACCATCCTTATACTGTAAACATTCTTGCTATCGAAGCTGTCATAACTAACTGATATAAGGTGGTGAAGGGCATACACAGTTTGTGTTGTTTAAAGTTTAAATATGCAGCGTTTCGTGGATTCACCATATGAAATATTTGTTTGATTTTAGTGTCATATTTAAAGTCTCACACTCTCACCAAGAGGAAAAAGAGTTACTTGTTCGAGGCTTTGCAAATTAAAGTTGTATCCACTAAATAGAAACTGTCTTTCAGTTCAAAGAAGCTTCACGTTCCTACACTTTTTCCTGCATGAACTTTTGATACACCATGAATATAACCGATACATTATGTGCTAACTTTTTCTACCATATTCTATAACTTACATTACCCTTCTATGGAGTAGCATTCTTATTGAGTGCTCTATTGCATCAAGATTTTACCGAGTTTATTTTGGTATTTAAATTTTTAGATTGTAGAGTTTATTTGAATACATTACATCCTATAGATTGAAGATTAATCATCTTATTTTGAATGTTTAGGTGTATTCATTGTGGAGTTGGTGCTAGGTCCACGCCGCATATGCGCCGTGGCCCAGAGGGGCCGAGGACTTTATGCAATGCATGTGGCCTTGCATGGAGAAAGGTACTAAATATTTTAGTGTTGTGTTCTATTTTTTTATTCTTATTTTTTCCTGTTGATCGTAAGGACCCACTTCAGTTGTGGTTTAGAAGATGGAATTTTTGGTTCTTATTTAACATGCTTTGAGAAAAACATATACAGTTTCTCTCGTTCTGGCATCTGTCAGTTGACTATCTTCATTTCTTATTACTTCATAGCCAGCTATGCAGTTTTAGCTTCTTTTTGATATAGCCCCTCATTTTTTAGTATGATGATACAGAAGACGCTAAAAAAAGTAACTTACCTTGATGCTTCTGGGGAAGATGCTTTCGGTGCAGACATGGTGCCAAAACTTGGTATGGAGTTTGAAAATGAGAATAAGGCATATGAATTCTACAACAACTATGCTGGAATGGCAGGGTTCAGTGTGAGAAAAGGCTGGCTGGACAAAAGAGTTTCGGATAAAACTACGAGATCGAGGACATTGGTGTGCTCCCGGGAAGGTTTTCGCCAGGAGAGGAAAGCAGGAAATGAAGCAAAGCGTCCACGGCCAGAAACAAGAATTGGTTGTCTTGCACGCATGAAAATCAAACTTATGCCAAGTGGAAGGTATCGTATTACAAAATTCATTGCAGAACATAACCATCAACCTGCTCCTCCTTCATCAAAACACTTGTTGAGATCACAGAGGGTCACATCTGAGTTTCAATCCACTGATGCAGACTTATCAGATGATGCTGTGGCTGCTCTAAGATCTTCTGGTGAGCCCACTATCACTAGACCAGATGTGTACATTCTACCATCAGATTATAATGCTTGTCTTCGCTCAAAAAGAATGAAGTCCATGCAGTCTGGTGATGCTGAAGCTCTTCTAAAATATCTCCAAAGCATGCAACTACAAAATACAGCATTTTTCTACGCCATTCAGCTCGATGAGGATGATAAGCTTACAAACATTTTCTGGGCTGATTCAAAGTCACTAGAGGATTTCAACTACTTTGGTGATGTGGTTTGCTTGGATACCACATATAAATTTAATGGACACTGTAGACCTTTCGTACTTTTTCTTGGTGTGAATCACCATAAGCAAATTACCCTCTTTGGGGCAGCATTTCTGTATGATGAGACGGTAGAATCTTTTAAATGGCTATTGAACACTTTTGGGATTGCAATGCATGGGAAACTACCAAAGACTATTCTGACAGATGAATCTGTTGCAATAAGTAGTGCATTGGCTACAGTGTGGCCAGAAACAATGCATCGCCTTTGTGTATGGCAAATTTATCACAGTTCCATGAAGCACCTTAGTCATGTTTTCCAAAGTTCAAAAACTTTTGCAAAAGATTTTAGTAGATGCATCTACAGTTCTGAGGATGAGGATCAGTTGGTGCTAGGATGGAGATCTCTCCTGGAGAAGTATGATCTTAGAAGCAATGAGTGGATTTCAAAATTATTTGAGTGCAGAGAGAATTGGGCTTTGGCTTATGGGCGGCAAACTTTTTGTGCTGATATAAAGAGCACACTTCAAAATGAAAGCTTAAGCAGCGAGCTAAAAAAGTATTTAACTCCACAACATGATCTTCCATCCTTCTTCAAGAATTATGAGAAAGTAGTATCTGAGTGTCGTTATGCAGAACTTCAGGCTGATTTCCATGCAAGCCAATCTTTTCCTAGGATACCTCCTTCAAAGATGTTGAGGCAAGCAGCGAGCATGTATACACCTGCAGTATTTGAAATGTTCAGGAAGGAGTTTGACGTATTCATGGATTGTATGTTATATAATTCTGGAGAGTATGGAAGAGTAACAGAATACAGGATTACAGTTGGTGACAATGCCAAGGAATATTATGTTCGTTTAGACTCTACTGATTTCTCAGTTGCTTGTAGTTGCAAGAAGTTTGAATTCACAGGGATTCATTGCGGCCATGTAATAAAGGTGCTTGATGTCAGAAACATAAAAGAGCTACCGTTCCGGTATTACCTTAAGAGGTGGAAAAGAGATGCCAAACTTGCGATTGATGCAGAACCAAAGTCTCCCACAGTATCCTTGGCAAGCGGACAGGTTCCTCCAGATCCCCATCAAGGGTGTCAGCTGGGTCAGGTAATATTTGTAAGATCACGGTTATTTTATTTTTTTTGGGATTTTTACATACATAACACCTAAGACTATTGAAAATACATATTTAACACCTAAACTTCTATATTTACTAATATACTACATAAAACCCTTCTTTTAATCAATTCTAACATTCCGTTTAAACCTTTTGTCAAAAATCACTATCAACGACTATCTTCTCCATCAATGGCATTCTTTCACAGTGAATACAAGTATCTTATCGCTTCAATGGAGTTGTAGGATAGAAGGAAAATGAGATTTTAGGTGGTATATTAGTAAATATAGAAGTTTATGTATTAAATATGTATTTTCAATAGTTTTTGATGTTATGTATGTAAAAATCCCTTTATTTTTTTATTTATCAGTAAGATCAGCGTTATTGACAAATATTTCACCTCAAGTTTCTGAGGTTTTTTTTTTCCTTATAATATGCAGGCTACAGGTTGAGTTAATCACAGTTCTCTACTAGATCAGGTGAGGTAATTTTGGAAACATATTGCATTAACTGTTATCAAACTTTTGGTTTGTCATGTTTCTTAAAATATTTAACATAAGCTGTTAAAAATATAGTTTGCTTGTTGTCCTGAATCCTTTTGCAGAGCTTCTCAATTTCTGTATAAAACCCAATCCTCTACAAGGAGATGGAGACAAGATTCTTATAAGTGATTTAGTTGGTTAATTCCGATGAAGGTTTTGATAATGATGTATGTTTCGATAACCCAGTCTTTTGACTATACCCAGCTTTTTTACTTTGACGAACAATTTAATTACTATACACTCGCTAATAGAATATTAAGAAACGTATTATAGTGTCATTTAATCTGATATTTGCCCTTCAAACTTTGTAGGTCTCTGATTCACATTTCTTACACTGCCCTGAATCTCAAATTTTTTGGTGTCTTCTCATATATATATATATCTCATTTCTAAGCTGTGTATTTACCAAATGCTGGGTTGAAATGTTTAGAGGGCAGGTCTTGGAACAGCAGCTTGTTGCTTGCAGGTTCGAATCACATAAGAGCATATCCAATCGAAAATCTCATTTTGCACTCCAAAAATGCCGTGAAACTAAAAAATGCCGTGATTCATCTCCAATCGAACTCCATTTTTCCCCCTTTTGCAGGTAACGGTCGTCTCTTCTTTCGCGCGGCAAGTTCGGTAGAGACATAAAAATGACGGAGATGAACAGTACAACGCCAATATTGGCGTCCCCCTGTTCATCCGCAGCTAAATAGCGGAAGTTTTACCGTTCGGCTGGAGCTGACGAGTGACACCATTCAAGCGTTTGGAGTTCCATTGGAGATGCCCTAAAAGGGAGCCTTGTGTACGTTAATCTGAATTCTGATTTTGTTGGGAAAGGAGCTCCGTTCACTTTTGGTTCAAACCTTTGATGTCCTGAGAATCCCTGCTACAGGTGTGTTGCATCGTCACAATATTAAAAAGGATTTGATTATTTACTTTCTGGCATCCCTGTGCTACAAAATTGATACGAAACACACAAATTGAACAACAGATTTTATGAGTTGAAACCATTCTTTTCACAGGAAAATAATCTTTATCTGAAACATAACTACATCAATATATCAATGTAGGTTTGTATGTGATCTTTAGTCTAGAAGATGCTAGCTCTATGATTACTAAAGATAGATGATTGGTGAAAATACATTCACAAAAAAAGAATCTCTATCTTAGATCTATGTCATGTTTTGCGACATGCATTTGATGTGTCGGGCATGCCGAAAAAATGTCCGATTAAAAATATTAAATACAAATTGGACATACGTGTCTTAAATATTATTTCTTGTATTTAAAATTTTTATTTATTTGAAATATTAAATTAAATTTCTTATTTTTTGTTTCACAACACTAAATCAAATTAGCTGCATTCAATATCTCATTCATTGAATATTCTCATTTTCATTTTTTCTTTGGCGGGTCATGACTTTGGTTTCACAACAATGTCTGATGTTATCTCAACATCGATGTCCAACGTTATTATATCATCAATATTTCAAAATCATCTCAACATCAAAATCTAACACTATCTTGACATTAATACTTGGTGCGAACAATTTCTACACTCATTACTTGATAGCTCATGTTTGTATGACATCGTCTTAACATTGACGATCAATGTCCTCTCAACATCAAAGACAGACGCCCTCTTGACATCGACGGCCGATATTGTATAACATTGATGCTTGATTCTTGACAGCATTGTTTCCTTCTCTCTCTATGTTTGATACATGGCATCACGCTCGACTCTAAACATCTTGATATTAATCATTTTAACCTCAAATTTTAATTAAATGATATTTTTTTTATTTTTTTTAATATTATACTTATTTAAATTTTATGCATTATTTTTAAAATATAAAAATTATAATCTTGAGTCTTATATTTTTAATAATTGACATCTTGTGTCTGTGTCGTTTGTGCATAATAGTAATTTACAAACTAATCCTTGAGGATAAATGACAGTTTCTACAATATTTTAACATTAGTTCTCTTGTTAATTTAACTAATGTGATAACTTTTAATGAAATTTGAATGGCATATAATTGTACGGCTAAATCTTCCTTATTTATACGTCAGTTTTAGTACAACAACAACAACAACATCAAGCCTTTATCCCACTACGTGGGGTCGGGTCAGTTTTAGTCCTAAGATAAATTATAAGCCTTCTATTTCATAGTTCCTTATAACTTGTAAATCTATGTAAGTTCTTTATCTTAGATTTTCTTTAGGATGGTTTTGTTATGTTTTGTAAAATTAATTTTTTGTTAAATTTTTTTTTTAAATAGAAAAAGAATAGAGATCTAAAGCTAGCTCAAATGAAACCTCAATGCAGTTGTGGTGTGAACGCATTTAATGAATTAAGATCCAAGCATGTGCCCAAAAGGCTAAAATCTAATTATGTTCTTAGCTTCCTGTGATATGCACATGGTTTCTTTTTTATGTCGTCCCTTTTCATCGGCAACTTCACTGGAGCTATTGATTAGAAGAACTTGAAGGGATTCCTTAGAATCATTTGGCTAGATAGAAATGATTCAGAGATATCGAAGTCAAAGGGATTCATTCTTGCAAATCCAGATACTGGACGTAGCTCTACATCTGGAGGCCAATAACATATCGCCACGTGCTCTTACTCTTTACCGCGCGGCCCGACGATCCAACCCGGACTAGAACCTGGTATTGCTATATTCGCGTATTACTAGGTATTGCTCAGTATTACTAGGTATTGCTTGACAATAACGAGAAATACTGCTCTATCAAGACCAATACCTAGCAATACCGAGCAATATCTAGCAACACCCCCGTTTGCACAGATCAACCAATGCATAACAATCCCGGGTCCGGGTTGGTCATCGGGCCGCACGGTAAAGAGTAAGGGCACGTGGCACCATTTTACTGGTATCCGAATGTAGAGCTACGTCAGGACACCAGACCAAATAAAAATTCATTGATTAGGGGGGTCAACAAGTCATTCAAACTTAGATGGAAAATCCATCATCATCAATAAGGTAGTCTTAAAATGGTGGCATTTGATGTGGTTTTGATTATTGTGTTAGCGGACCCCCTTATCAAAAGAGGTTAGTGTTTTTGATAGTAACGAAGATTTTGTTTGAGATAATTTTTTTATTACTTTCTAAAGTAATTTTATAGTGTAAAAAATTTTGTTGAATTTGAAATTTTAGTATTAAAAAATTACTTTAGAAAGCAATAATAAAGGTGTACCAAATGAACCCTAAGAGAACTAAAAAAGACTGTTACTGGCTTCAATTAGCAGTTATATTCTACTATTTTGGTGATATGTTCTCTATTTACAACAAACTCACATTAAAGATGATTTTCATCATTGAAGAAACATGTAAAAAAAATACAATTTTTGCAACATAATCATAAGAGAAAATAGAAGAAAATATAGAAGCATTTTTATCATGATGAATTATCAATTATGCTAATAATTTTACATTGATGAAACAAAAAATATCATATGCAAGCCTCAAAGATCAAAGTGATATTTACCCATTGATATTTAAGTAGTTGTGCATTGGATGCATAATAAACTAATGACATGTTCGGAATGGCTACAGTGTTTTATAAAGTTGATTGCTAATTTGCTATGAGGAAAATAATTTAGCTACTTTGATTGCAAAAAACAACTTTTCATTGCAGAAATTTCTTAAAAGTAATGAGTAGCCAAATGAAATTCTAATTACTGTCTGAAAAGCAAAGCAAAGAAAAAGGTGTCCCAAAAATATCCTAAATTTAGCTTCAAATGAAAAGAGAAATAGACCCAATTTTTTTTTTAAAAAGGAAAGAAATAGACCCAATTTAACTCATTAGTTAGTGAACGTTATTTTGAGGATTTAGATTCTCTTCAAATGTCATATTAATTGGATAATAAAGTTCTTCAATCCCAACTATCAAGCTCACTTTGGATGGTTGGGATTGGAGAACTTGCCTTTCAGTTACTATCTTAATTAGAAAACTTATTTTGTTTTTGTTTTTCGGTAGTTGAGGGCATCAAATGCAAATCATGCAGGACGGAATGTTTCCATCATCGAAAAAGTCACAACTCGATCCGCTAATTAGAGAACTTTACTATTCATAAACAATACCCACATCAATAATAAAGATTAACTAGTTCCATCCTTTTTGTTTCCTTTAGCATCAATGCATCATCAACATATCCGGTTGTGATGTCATGTTTTTGAAAATATATTTAATAGTTGTAGTATTGAACCAATGAGCTACTGCTAATGTAATGGAAAGGTAATTGAGAATATTTATTAAGTTCAAAGCAAATAAACAAGTAAAATATATGAATAATAGTTGTAACTCTTAAATTCCCCTATGAATCGAATAGCAAATCGATTGTAATCGCATCATAGTCAAAAGGCTAATGCTAAAAATGAAATAATTTGACTGAGATGTTTATATATTATTAAAATAACTCTAAGGACAGTTAATATCTATCAACAAAGTTGATTAATCTTGATAACACACTCTAAAACAAAAAATGACAATAATATAAAGCCGTTATCCAATTATATGAGGTCGGCTACATGAATTTTTTTTTCTTCATTGTTGATATATCATCAAAAAATTATCATGCTCGGGCACGAATCTTGAGGCAAAATCAAATTGGAAATTTTTGAAATTAAATCTGGGACGATATGAACTCTAATTTCAACAAACTTACAGTCGAACTAAACATCTCGAAAGTACGAGCCCATCGACACCAAATCCGACTCAAACTGAGCCCAAATCGAAGACCCGAAGTTCATTTTGATAGTTCAAACCATAAATTGGATGACCAATCGATTTTCAAAGGTGACATACTTATAGTAAAATTGAGCGGCTCGATGAGAAGAATCCAGCGAGCCCAATATCATTAAATTTTGATATCATTAAGACATTCAAATGACCAATAAATGGTCCATGATCAAGGGAATAAACATTGGCCGTCCATTCAAACTAATCTCAATTTATCCTTGATCTTTCTCTTATGTATTTACCATGCCACTATCAGAAATATATAAATAGACCCCTCATTCCTCATAGAATGGGGACCAAGCAAAGAAAAGAAGGAGAAGAGTTCTTTTGCCACCAGACTCCTCCTCGACCACCACCGGACTTCCACTCGACAACCGATCAATGTCGGACTTCCACCCGGCAATCGACCGATGCCGGTCTTCCACCTGAAAACCGATTGATGCTAGGCTTCCACCCGACAGCCGACTGATGCCAGACTTCCGCTCAACTGTCGACTGATGTCAGATTTTTGCCGAACGTCGGATTTTCACCCGATTGCCAACTAAAGCAGGATTTCCGCCTGACCTCCGAACATCACCATTCGTCCGATCTCCATTCATCTCACTAGGTGTCATCCTGAAGGTTGATTATTGTAATATAATAGTCCTCAATTTCAAGGACAAATCAAATACTTGTAATCTATTCAAACACTAGTTGAATCCATTCAAAAAATAAATTTGATTTTGTTTAGTAGAGCAACACATAAATAATGACGTAGAGTATGCTGCTTTGATAATCAGTTTTGAATTAATCCTTAGTTCAAAAGAACCAAAATGTTTGATGATTCTCAATTGATCATTGATCTAGTTATAAGTGTTTGCAGAGTCCTCAAACTTGATCTCCTTTTCTATCACTAATGAGTTATATATCTGATGCTATCATAATTATGTTATCATATTTGTTGTAATGCTGAAGCAGATGCCCTTGCTAATTCGAAAAAAGAGCTATCTAATCTTGATGGTGAGCCTATGATATTCATGATAAAAAAATATATGGATCCTACTAAACACCTTGCTAGTTAGGTTCTTCTTTTTTACTCCTTTCTAGACATAGCCCCTGGTCAGTTCTGCACATCATCTTTATGATAACTCGCTATCTCGATTCTCGACCAACGACTCCTTGTCACCTTGTTGATGGCTTCTAGCCAGTTTTTTTTTTTTTTTTTTTTTTTTTTTTTAAAATTTGGCATTTGCCTTTAAATATAATAAAAAAAGAATTACATGTGCA